TTACAACCATTATGTTTAGTTACTGTTCAAAATTAAACGGCACTGGAAAAAATGACTTATGACCATATTTCACACTTACGACCATTGCATCATCCCCATGGTCACATGATCAAAATTCAGACGCTTGGCAATTGGCTCATATTTATGATGCCAATGGTGGTGTCCTGGGGTCATGTGATCACCTTTTGTGACCTTCTGATAAGCAAAGTCAATGGGAATGCCAGGTTCACTTAACAACCACATTAATAAGAACTCCAAGGATTCACTTAATCACTGTGGCAAGAAAGGTCATAAAAAGGGCCAAAATGCACGTAACAACTGTCTTGCTTAGCAACTGAAAATTTGGGTTCAATTGTGGTGATATGTCGAGGACTACCTGTTTCACTTTTTCTCAGTTCAGTCTGCCTGACAGGCAGGATTAAATTAGGAGAGGTCCATAATCGTTTTTAAATTCTCAAAGGAAAGATAGGGTATAAATACAGTAATTGATATACTTTCATCACACTGGTTTCAACAACTTGATGAACCAAAATGCTTGCTTGTTTATAGTTAGCCTAATATAGGCCAGGATATGTAAACCATGGTTTAAAAGCATCAAAAGTGTTCTGACCCAGTTCCGCAAATATGACAAACCCTCTGAAGTTAAATCAATGATTCCTTTATTAGGAGCGCCAGCAGCCCCTGCAAAAAGTTTCTGTTTCAATGCAGGCTAACAGATCCGACCGGCAGGGAGATGAATAGTTGTCTGCCACATCTATTCATCTCCACCCCCTGCCTTTTATTCCCATAGTAGGGGGGGGCTCTTCCTTCCCAAGGATCAGCCCATGGATCTCCACTGCTCTCCTCTCCTCTGCATTCTGCGTATCCACGCACCAGGCACTGGACCCAGCTGTTCCTCCTCTTCTTCCTCAACCACTTCCAGACCTGGCGGCTGTTGACTATCTGAGGGCTGACGGATGGCACAGGCTCCACCTCTGTCTCTCTCTCTCTGACAGCTCCATTCCCTCTTCCCCCTCAGAGCTCTCCGGTTGTCTTGATGCTGACCCTGATTCCCACGCCTCTTCATCTGATTCAATTGCTGCCGGCAGCCAGCAGACCACAACAAAAAGTGCACCACACCAAGCCTTATTTATTCAACAATCTTGATTAAACAACCAAAGTTTAAGCACATTGGATGAACACAACCATTCATAATCAACAGCACGGTTAAAGGCACTCCAACTTTCTACAAATATTTATGGTGAGAGTACTGTGCCCAAGTCAAATCTTGTATTTGGAAAAGTACCAGTATATAATAATAGAAAATAGAATTTCTCCAGATATAAATTACTTTTCAATTGTTCAGTTAAGGTTATGTTCCTTAAACTGATGATACTTAAAATAAATTCACTCATTTGCGTGTACACTTATTGGAAGTATGTGCTGTTGAGCCATATTTATATTTCAGAGCTCTAGACATAAAAAAAAAAATCTCCTAAAGTAATTACATTAACTTCATATTGGATACTAATCAGCATGACAGAGAAAAAAAGAGTATTATGGAAAACTTTGCAACCCTTCAATTTAATTCTGCTTCAACACAGCAATTTTGTGTGCAGTTATTTGGCAATAAACCAATATAGTAATCATAATTAGAAATGAAATTCATTGAAGATATGACCTCAAAAGCTTAAGATTTTGGCTAGAAAGTACAGTTGTTACACCAAAAAAATTCAGCACTTTGATTGTTTTGAAAAGCTGGACTTCTGTTTTGTGAAAAAGCCTTTTGAAAAAGCACTTTTGGGACAACCATAACCTGGATGACTGAGAATCTCCACAGACATTAAGCAGTTCTTATTTCCCAAAACAGTAGCCATTGGAAAAGAACATGTGCTAAGAAGATAATCTGAAAGAGGGATGAGGGAAAAAAAGAAGCAATCAGCAACCAGAGCAAACTAGCGCATAATTGGATTTATTTGGTTTCAATTGATAACACTATATGATTTCAATTACTGCTTGTAAAACATGATTTATGATAATGGTCCATGCTATTATGGTTTCCTCAACTGATCTTAGTGAAAACAAATCATAAACTGTAGTAGTTTATTAATGCCATTCCTAAACCAACCTAATTTTTCTTTAGAATATGCTAATGCCTAACAGTTTCCACAGGTAAAACTTCCAAACCACAAGCAATCCAATCAGTTCCAGGCATAAGGAGCCAAACAAAACAGGCCCAACCAGCCCCCACAATTTCCCAACAGCATGATATGGAAGGAAACAGACTGCTCTAGATCAGTGGTTCTCAACCTTTACTTCACAATGGACTCCCTTTAAATACCTTTTGTGGCCACAGACCCCCAAGTCTTAACTCAAGATTTAAATCATAACATTTCTTCAAGCATTCATGGACCCTCTGTGGTGACATTGCACACCCCCCCGGCCCGGGGTCTAGGGACCATAGGTTGAGAACCTCTACTCTGGATGTCTATGAAGATTCTCACTCTTCCAAGTCACGGTTCTCCCAAAGGCGATTTTTTAAAAGGCAAATGGACTTTTCTTTGTTTTTCCTTAAAGGCATTTTGCTTCTCATCCAAGAAGCTTCTTCGATTCTGAATGGCAGTGGGAGGAATGGAAGGATTTATATTCCTTGCGGTCATCTGGTGCTTAGCATAAATAACCTCCCAAGTGGCCTCAATGAAGTGCTATCTACCAATGACTGCAAGAAATATAAATCCTTCCATTTCCCCAACTCCCCCTCTCCCCCGTCCTCATTCAGAGTTGAAGAAGCTTCTTGGATGAGAAGCAAAATGCCTTCACGGGAAAAAAAATACAAAGAAAAGTCCACGGTTCATAAAGTACACATAACAAAACTAGTCTAATGAGACTAATGTTATGCAGGAAATAAAAGCTGGAAAGGAGAAGAGTAACCCAGTACTGTACATGAAGGAAAATCAAGGCCGAAAGAAATATTAGCCATCCAAATCCAGTATGTGCAGAAAAGAGATACTTCCCTCTCGCATCAAATGGAAGAAAAAGAGGGTGTCTCTTATTATATGGTTCCAATAAGGAATCTGCCATTATATGGTTCCAATATGGTTCCAATAAGGAATCTGCCATTGAAATCAGCAAAACTACCTCTGACACGGATAACTCCTCCATCCACAAAGCAGTGGTTTTACTACAACAACAAGATGCTAAATATTCATCTGTGGACTAACAGCAAATGCATCTCTGGGACCACCAGAGTGCTTCCTTCCATATGAAGCAATCAATATAAACCAGTAACTATTTTTTTAAAAAAATACGAAAAGAAAGAATTTTATGTTTTTCTAGAATTCTCATGCTCATCTCTTGATTTGGGTGCAGAGTTTTAAGAGAACTATAATATGTGCACGGATCCATGTGCACATTTCAGTTTCATGGGTGCAAAAATAGATCATCTTATTGAAACACAATGGAACAACGGATTCTCATTTCGGGGCTGAGGAAAACCTGCCAAAATAAGTATGAGTTAATGATAAGTGGACAAAAGGGGGATCTCTTGCCAGGAAAACAAGGTTGCATATGACACAGGCAGAAATGAATAGATTTACCGAAAAAGATGACATTCAAACGGGGTGAAGAATATCAGAGGGAGGGAGAGGCACACTTGGTACAAATTGGGTAGTAATGGTATCCCCATCTAGAGGAGAGGAGGGGAGAAGAGAAGAGAGGAAAGGAGGAGAGGGGGGGGGAGGATTGTTTCCCCGAAAATAAGACCCTGTTTTATATTCTTTGAACCCTGAAATAAGTGCTTGGCCTTATTGCCATGCACTCAAAAGCCCAATTGGACTTATTATCAGGGGATGTCTTATTTTGGGGGAAACAGGGTGTGTGTATGTGTATATGTGTGTGTGTGTGTGTGTGTGTGTGTGTGTGTGTATAGATAGATAGATAGATAGATAGATAGATAGATAGATAGATATAGATATAGATATAGATATAGATATAGATATAGATATATAGATATAGATATAGATATATAGATATATATATAGAATAATCTTTTTTATATATATAATCCTCTTCTCTTCAGGATAGTACGAAACAACCCAGAGTTCTCATTCATGGCACAAATGAGCAAGCTCACATTATCCCCATTTCAGACACATTATGCAAAGACCCAGCTCTCTGGAAAAAAATCTAAATAATGCTGGAAAAGGTTGAAAGGAAAAAGCAGCAGCAGAGCTTGAATGAACCCGAATTACAGCAGTTTCATGGGTGCAATGCTGGAAGACCAGCTTAGGGGACAAATCCTCATGGAGAAAAAAAAATGTATCTCTGTGGTCGCTGGGAGGTGATACTGACTTGATGGCACATAATCGATGGATCGATCGATCGATCAATCAAAGGGGGCGGTAGGAAACCTGCTTCAAGAGATCCACAGAGAGAGAAAGAGGAGGGGGGGGGAAGGCTGTCTTGTAGCACCCTGGGAGGCTAATTGAGTGAATTTCTCCCCCCCCAAAAAATGTGACATCTTGCTTCTCAGATAAGGCAACTTGCATGAACTCACCCTGAAAATAACCCTATTTAAAAAAACAAAAACATTAAGCATTAAGCCCAAAACGACACTTGAGAGAGGAGATAGAAGGGGAAAATAAAGGATTCTATTTTATTCTATTCTAAAAGGGGGAGAGGGAGGGGTTGAAGTGGGTGCTTATAAATCCCTCCAGGTTGTCAAGGCAGACACACAAACACACACAGACACACAAACACACACAGACACACAAACACACACGAATTCACTCTTCGGAAATGATGGGGGGGGGGGGGAAGGAAAGAGTCAAATGAGGGGGTGAAGGAGAAGAGGAAGCCAGAGGATCCTGCTGTCAGCAATGCATAGGAAAAGATGGAGAAGGAAACCATAAGGCAGAGGGGGAGCCTGACGGTCATCTTCTACCCGAATGGCAACCTTAGCTCAGCCTTAAAACAGGCGTCGTGCTGCCCCTTCACTCCCCCCACCCCCGACTGACTACTACCTGCTCCCGCGTCTCCTCCTGCTGGAAGAAGGGCGCCTTCTCAGCCCCCGCGACCGCCCTCGCCGGCTCCGCTTCCTGCTCGCCCCTCAGCCGGGGCTCAACGCAAACCGCTGGATATCAGCTGACGGACTGGCAGCGGCCGCCACGGCTGCCGCAAGTGTCGCAAAAGAAACCCCCCCCCACCCGCGTGTGCTTGGCGGCAGGCCGCCTCTGGCCGCGAGAGGCTGGTAGCCATGGAGACGGAGAGGCGGGGAGGAAGGTGTGGGGGTGGGGGTTCCGTGATGACGCGCCATTGCTTCGATGCCCCGCCTTCCGCGGGGAGTGGGGGGGGGGGGAAGCGGGCGCGGGTTGAAGGAGAAAGCAGAGTGAAATGTTTATTTTGTTTGTTTGTTTTTGTCAAGCGTATATAAGATTACAGATAAAAGTATAAACATGATTATGAATACACCACTAAAGGAGGCTATTTGTAGCTCAGGGTTGACGTGAGGGGTCCTTGGTGCTCTCTGAGCTTGGGGTTTGTTTTTGGTTTTTTTGTAGACGTTTCATTACCCAACTAGGTAGCATCATCAGTGTTAGAGCGAAATGTCAATGGGGCAGGAGATGTAAGGGAGCGCGTCTGGGAGGAATTCCTGAAGGTGTAATTTGGACGCCGGCAACTTAATGCTTGCTGATATCAAGCCGATTCTCGGCTTCCACCAATGCGGTTTAGGGTGCAAAAGAGATGGAGACAAAGATAGGCGTCTATGGAGATTCTCAGTCATCCAGGTCATGGTTGTCCCAAAGGTGCTTTTTTTTCCTCAAGAGGCAACTGGACTTTCTGGATTTTCTTTGAAGACGTTTCACTTCTCATCCAAGAAGCTTCTTCAGCTCTGACTGGATGGTGGAGAATGGAAGGATTTATACTCCTTTCACACAGCTGGTCATTTATACTCTGCAAGGAGTATAAATCCATATATATATATATATACACAAACCCTACAGTAATCCAAATGTTTACAGCAAAAAATTGTCGGATACACATAAAGACATACACACTTAAGACAGTTTCCAAAAAATCTTTAATTGTGTGGAAATGGATAAATTAACATTCGAATTGAAAGATAAGGTAGACTCAAAGTATTATATAACATGGAATAGATGGTATGATTGGATAAATCGGAGAAATGAAGGCAAATGTAAAATTCTGAATGATAATAAAATTTTTTTTAAAAATGCACTGTCAGTAAGACAATGGATATGTGAATAAAGTCACTTTTTCTTTTTATGAAATGTTGTTTATATGGATATATATGTATTTAGTGTATATATATGTGTGTGTAGCATTTCGTTTTTAAATGTTTAACAAAGTTTGTTTTTTAAAACCAAAAAAAAAGAGTTTCTAAAACTTCCCTTTCTCCAAAAGAGTGTTTCTCAACTTTAGCAACTTTAAAAAGTTTGGACCAGCTGGCTGGCTGGGGAATTCTGGAAATTAAAGTCCACACGGCTTAAAACTGCCACGGTTGAGAAAGACTGCTCCGCAATCTCACCAAAATGACCTGCATTTCTAAATTCACAAATCTCATGCCCACAACCAAGATGGCAACCTTGCTTCCTTTCCAGAACCTTAAAAAAAACCCTTGCTGAAGTTGACTTCCGCCTGAAAACGAGGAGGCCTTCCGCTCTCCAATTTCCCCACTTCTTTACAGCGGCTCACCATAGAGAGAGAGGCAACACGCTTAGACCGGCGCCTCTGCGCCCAATCGCCTCCGTTCTTTTTTTTTTTTTTTCCCTTCACGCTTACCGGAAGTTGGCTCTGCCCAACCTTTCTCCCCCTTCACCACTCTATCCCTCGAGCCTGAATGACTCGCTCAGGGAAAGGTTCATTGAGGAAGGAGCGGGAAAAAGGGCTGAGCTGCCCGCGCCTGCGCAAAAGATGCTGTGGTGCATGCTGGGCGGGCGTCTTCTTCTTCCTCCTCCTCCTCCTCCTTCCCGCCGTGACTGTGCAGATACCGGGCGACGAATTGCCGCTTCTGCCGGCGCTTTCCTGCCGTTTAGCCCCCCCGACGCCCCGTGAGTCGCTGCCGGGATGGTCGGGGTGAAGGTGATCGCTAACGACGCCGACTTCCAGAGCGAACTGAGCGCCGCCGGCTGCCGGCTGGCGGTGGCCAAGTTCACCATGAGAGGGTGAGCCGCCCTTTCGGGTTCCCCGCGTGGGTTTTCCTCCCTGTAGGGAGCAGACGCGCGTCAAAGGGTTCACACGAGCTGCCTTGCAAGCGTCGCGGGTCGCATTAGAAGGAGGTGGCTTTTTGGGGGTGGGTGGCATGGGGGGTGTTGAGGCGGTGGCTTATGGGTTGTGGAATCCCCTTTCCTCTCTGGGGGAGCGAGGAACCATCGATGAATAGCCAGAGTATCATTTTTTGGGGGGGGGGACCATTCGCCCCAAAATGTGTGACTAGTGTGAATATGTTAAAAGTCAAAATTGAATCAGAATCGAAATAGATTCTGGAAGGGACCTTGGAGCTCTTCTGTGTTAATAATAATAATAATAATAATAGTAATAATAACAGTAACAGTTGGAAGGGACCTTGGAGGTCATCTAGTCCAACCCACTCCTCACGCAGGAGACCTGTACTAGGGATTCGAACCGGCTGTCTTTCTGATTGGCAAGCTCAGCATCTTGGCCACTGAGCCACCTAGCCAGGAATGTTGTTTCTCTGTGTCATATAATATATGCGGGTATATACATGATTTTGTATTTTATTTATTTGTCTTGTCATGTTTATGTAGTGTATATCGGAGGTGGTGACCCTTTAAGAGCTGTATGCAACGAAATTTCATTTTTAATGTATGCTAATTAGTCTACATTCAAAGTGACAATAAAGTTTTCTTTATTGTCCAAATCTCCCCTCCCCTCCCCTCCCAAGCAGGAAGACCCTATACAATTTGAGACAACAATTCAATTCAATTCAAACCTTTATTGTCAGTGCACAACATATATACAATGAGATTGGTTGAGCTCCCTCAGTGCACCCCCCCCCACACACAATACAACTCACAAGGAAGACAGAAAATCCCTAACCCAATAGATCATATTAACAAACACCCAGTCCTATTGCACCAGTGTGAACATGTTACACTTTGCACCGGCCCTGCAAGTCCATCGTACTACGTAGTTATATGTTATTTCGCATTCGGGAGTCTGACAGCCCACGGATAAAAACTTCTTCAGCCTGTTTGTGCGGCTGGTTATGCTTCTATATCTTCTTCCCGATGGTAAGAGGGTAAAGAAGTGCTGACCAGGATGTGAGTCGTCCCTGAGGATTTTCCTCACTCTTCTAAATCTCTTCTTAAATTGATTAGCATCCAAACCGAGACTGCAGTCGTAATAGCCAGCGTGTGGCAAAGATCAATAATATCAGATATGCAAAACTTTGAAAGAATGTAAAATGAAAATGGGTGAGGTGGACATACACACCTCTGCAACTTTTCCTTGGAAAGCAAGGCTTAAGCCGGTGTTTTTCAAACTTGGCACCTTGAAGATACATGGACTTCAGTTCCCAGAATTCTCCAGCCAGCTACATCTTCAAATTGTCAGGGTTGAGAAACATTGGCTTAAGCTTTCCTCCTGACCAAGAACAACATCCCCTCCTTTTCTGTTTTGCTTTCTAGAGATAGAAATGGTTTTTGTTTGCTCCTAGAGATAGGAGCTTTTAGAGATAGAAATGGTTTTGTCTGCATCTTTGGAGCTCTGAGTGAAAGAGAAGGAGGTAATAATAGCTAGTACTCCCCATTCTGAGGGAAAGGGTCTCCTGTCAGCCATATACCCACTGATCAATGTCCTTGAAGGAGGCAGTATCTCAATGCAGGAAAACAATCAAGGAGATGGGGGAAGAACCCAAATTGGGCTTTCATGTGTGGAAGAATAGAGCATGGGAGCTTTCAGCCTTTCCACAGTATAGCAGTGTTGAAAACTTCCCTTCTCAGCAGGCTAGGCTTCAAGTGACAGCAACTTTTTAGCAGATGCAAAGAACGCTCTCCCAAAATCTTGGGGAATATGAGGACAAGGAGATAAAGCCAGGTCAACTAGCTAGACAATAGCAGCCAGTTATGAATCGGTCACTACCAAAGCAAGTAGGTAACTTGGCAGAAAAGATTCCAAGAGAGAAAGACCAGAAAGAGTGCTCTGACAGCCTCAGGAAAAGTAAACTAAATCTCCTTTTCCCCCCACCAAGAAAATGATGGTAGAAGAACCCAAAGACTGCTGAATATGGAGCTGTGTTAGAGAAAAACAGCTGCTAGAAATGTCCTAGATTGGTGTGAGCTGACATAGTGGCCCAGGCCTGGGTCGATTTGACTGGTTCTGATTTCTATGCAGGGCATAAGATTTCCATTATGCTTTTCCCAGCGCTAAATGATAATATGGCAAGAGGAGACCAAAACTCTTCATAAGAGAATTTGCCAATCACTTCCAAAAGCTCATCCAGGGGCTCTGACTGACTTCCATTATCTACTTATTTAGAGACAGGAATTAAAAGAGTGGGAAAAAGACAGCAGGTTTCTTTGGAGGAACCAAAGGGGAGTGAAAAAACACTGCAATTTCATTTTTATTTTCAGTCCTGCAATGGAGAAGGTTCTCTATTTCTATGATCTGTCCACAGGCTAGGAATGCTTGGGAAATATTTTCCAGCTTTCCTCCTCTTCTGATAAGAGACTAATTTTTTTAAGAGAGGTAAGCAGACTTACCTATAGCACCCAGGAAGAAGGAAAGAAGGCATTGGGAAAACAGTGACTCATCTTTTAATAACACAGGGAAGTGTACATTGGGGCTCCCAAGCTCAATAGCTGAAACACCCTGCCAGTAACCAGACAGAGGAGGCAATTACTGAAGTAAATTTCCCTCAGAATGACCTCTATCAGACCTGCAGCGGTAGACATTTTGCCACACTGGAAAATAGGCAGGTGGGATGTGTTGAAGCTCAGGACGGTTGCCCAGCACCTCAGTGCTGATCATGTGACTGCATGGGCAATTGCAATAACTCAGGATCAACTACCTCTAATGACCATTTGTTCAGCATTGTCATAAATTTGAACAGTCACTGAACAAATGGTCATTAAATGAGGACTATTTGTACAGTCATATATTCTATTGCCACATTAGCTTACTAATTGAAAGTTGGTTGTTTCTGAATGATGAAAGAGGAGCTAATAATAACATTTAGCTAAGATCAGTACATAAAATTGAATGGAGCAGAATTTCTCCTTGGGAAGAAATCTTAAGCTGTGCCTTCTAGCGTTTGAAAGCATTTAAAATGCTCTTCAATGCTAGAAGAGCATTTAAGTACCAAATCCATCTTCTGATGACTAGAAATATAAATCTCTTCCCAACGGTGATTTTTCTGATGGGAAGGTGAAGCATTCAAACAAGAGTTTTATAAAATAGCACAATTAGTGAGATTACATCATTCCACTTGGAATGTAGATGTTATTCTTAATGACATGCCTGTTCATAACCAGCTGCCATTTTGTTTTTATATAACGTCCCGGAGTGGAAGACTTCCAAGAGATTCCATATTTCGCTCTGCAGTTTATGGGCACTGAGAAGTTGTGGACATACAGATTGAATTTAATATAAAAAGAAAAGGGGGAAAGTCACCACTACTTTACAATTCTGGAAAGAGACATTAGCCTAAATGTTATCAATGAACACATCTGGGCCATGCCCCTTTTTTTCTGGTGTTATTGGGCACTGCCGGGGTTTTCTCACAAACTTGGTGAACCACCAATGAATGCTTTGGCTGCAATTCAATTGAACTTAGAGATAACTTAATATCTTATATTTCCAGCATCACTGATTAATAACAATCTGCTGTCATCGTTTAAAAGTGTAGTGTTGATTGCTGGATGAAAGCATTTTGGAAGAGATTTGGATACTTTCGTGTTGGAGGAAATTGTGCTGATGGATTTTGGCCACAGCATCTCAGTAAATTTCTGTTATGGATGGTGGATTCTTTGAAAAACAGTTGCTGAAAATAAGCAGCGGGTAAGAGGCTAGTAACATTATTGCAATTCTTTTTTTTTTTTTTTTGTGGCCTGCCTAAGAAACCTGATAGCTCCTTCTTTAAATTTCATGGATGACAGCAAGATATAGATAGCACAAGTTAAAATGCAATTGGCTGCTGTTGGATACAGAATCATAGACTAGGGATGGGATGGCAAACATGGCACACATGCCACAGGGGGTATGCAGAGTCCTCTCTGCGGGCACGCCAGCCATCGCCCTAGCTGACCTCCACCGTGCATGTGTGCGGTCCTCCCGCCAGCCAGCTAGGCTTTAGGTCTCTTGTGCATGTGGGGGATGCGTGTCGTGCATGCGTGGGGGGCGCTTGCATTGCATTTTGGGGGTTCACATGTGTGCCCCACCCCCACCCCGTTTTGGGCCTGGAAGGTCTCCTGCACCAACCTGGAAGCCAAAATGGGGCACCACGCGAAGCCCCTCTCGCCCCATTTGGGCCTGGAAAGCCTCCTGCACCAGCCTGGAAGTCAAAATGGGGTGCACGGGAGCATGTGCGCATGTACAGGGGTGGCAGGACACATGCACCGGCAAAGTGCACACGGATGGGGCGCTCACATTGCATTTTGGGGGTTCGGGCGCATGCGCTTGTATTCGAGCGTGCGAGCGTGCTTTGGGCAGTCGGCACCCAAAAGGTTAATCATCACTGAGATAGAGAATCAAAGTAAACAAATGAGCCAAAACACCATGCTATACTCATTTATTTATTTATTGAGAAAAGTGACCACCACTCTTAAGTAGGGCTGCTGTGACGGTCATAAGTATGAAAACCAGACATAAGTCACTTTTTTCAATGCCATTGTAACTTTGAACAGTGGCTAAAACGGAGCCTTGGTGGCACAGCGGACTAAAGTGCTGTTAAAGTAGCACTTAGCTGCCAGCTGCCTGCAATTACTGCAAGTTCAATTCTCACCAGGCTCAAGGTTGACTCAGCCTTCCATCCTTCCGAGGTAGGTAAAATGAGGACCCGGATTGTGGGGGCAATAAACTGACTTTGTATAAAAAAAGAACACCGCTTGGGGGGGCCAAAAGCCCTACTAAGCAGGTATATACAAAAGTATGAAGGCTCTTGCTTAACACATTGTAAGCCGCCCTGAGTCTCTGGAGAAGGGCG